ATATATAAAATGTATCTTTGTTTGGTGGTTCGTTCGATACGCGGAAATTGCGCAAGCATTGTGCGCGCGGTTCGTTGACTCGTTAATAATACTGAATCATTTCTCACTTATTTATTTTTATTTTTTTTATTTTTTATTTTTTATTTTTGATTAGTATTATTTGTGAACTCGGGTTTTTTTTCTTCTTTTAATTCTTTATAATTCATTTAGATTATTTTGTATAAGTGGTTCGCTGGATTGGTTGGGAGAGGCAAAAGGGAAGGGAAGGGTCTTGTTTGAAATAAGTTTTGAATTTCGTCAAAGTTTCGTGGTTAGTCGGCACAGATAAAAGAGAAGAATGTGTTTTACTGATTAAATTATCTCTCTAATAACTTTTTGTCTTTTTTTTCTTTTTTTTTTCTTTTACTAACAATAAGAGGAAAAGAAAAATAAACGTTCGTTAGGTATTTTTTGTTTTTGTTTTTGGAATTATTTGAATATTTTTGTAATATTATTGTTATTAGTTTTTTGATTGAATTTTTTTTATCATTAAGGTGAATAAGTGATTAAAGTGATTAGGTATACGTTGTATAAAAATATTGATTGATTAAATGAATACTTATCGAATGGTTTGAAATAAAATATGTATCAATAGAAATTACGTACAATTGTACAAACTTCAAATTATTATAACTTGATTAAACATTAAAATATAAATATACATTGTTGGTATTCGTTGAATTCGTATTAATATTCCTTACAACTTTTGTTAAACTTTAAATATCGATTATCAATAAAATAAATTTATTATTATATATTCCTATCTCTCTAAAAAAAAAAAAAAAAACCAAATAAAATAAAATAAAATAAAATACGTAAAATGTAATATAAAAATGTTGTTAGTAAAATTTATTATTTAAAAATATAAAAAATAGGATGAAAGATATTTCTGTATAAATTGTTTGAATATGAGACACTGGGTATACTAAGCTTTCATAGTCTCATTGTCCAATTTATCCTTAGGCTGCACGTACGAAGGAAAGGAAGGGTTGTGGAGAAAGGTTGTGGAGAAAGGTTGTGGAGAAAGGTTGTGTGCTCAGAGAAAAAGAGAATTTATTCGTCCTTATGGACGTACTCCCTTAAGAGCATCCAAGGTAACGCGAATGTGTACACATATTTCAGGATAATGTAACTTTCTGAATAACGAATTATTTTCATCCAACGTCATACTATCTATAAATCGTATTACGTAACTTGTATTACAACTTAAAAAAAAAAAAAAAAACGTCGAAAAACAAATCAAATTTTCTAATATATATAAAAAACATTTAAAACATTTCTCATGCTCAAGTTATATTCAACAAAAAAGTTTCGTTTCAATACAAATCAATAATATATTTTACATGTTATTAAATTAAATTTTAAATAATTAATATAAATTTGTTTTTCTTTTTTATTTTCTAATAAATATTCAAGATTAGTTTATGTATAATAATTAAAAGAAAATTGATAGTAGGAATAATAATAATTGTTGGTTAGTGTAATGGTAATATAGTTAATTGTTTTTTTTTTAATAATAATTAAAATAAATTTAATAATACTTGATATAGTATTATTAAAAATAGTAATTATTTTAGTAATAATGAATTAATTAAAAATGGTAATTATTATAGTAATATTTTAGTAATTATTTTAGCAATAATTTAAGTAATTATTTAATTAATAATTTAATAATTAAACTACCATAAATAATAGTAATACTAAAATTTGTTGTCATATCAATTTATTCATGTTTTATTTTTTTTTTTCTTATTTCTTTAATTGGTCAATAAAATATACAAGTAATATATTATTCAATTTTGGCATAAGCAGCATAATTAGCAATTCCGCAACGATTTTTGTGTCTTGCCAATCTCATGTAACCACCCTCACCCCAATGTTCACCCCACCAATTCTTCAAAATCCACTCAGTTGGGGTATATCCAACGATTAGTATAGCATGATTTACAATATCCGAGGAACATGCAACGTCATCATAAACGCCTTGACTGTAAAAATTTATTATTTTTTATTATTTAAACATAGATAACAATAACATTAATATTAACAAATGTTTTACTCTTATGTGTTTCATTTTAAATTGAAGAAACAATTTTTATTATGAAACTAATTTAAATAATATCATTTTATATATAACACGTAATATTTCAATATAAATAATAATAATAATAATAATATCTGTATGTATTCTTTTATATATCCAATACAAGACATAAAAAAAAATATAAAAAAATAATCTTACAGTATGCATAAATGTTTTGGAATAAAATAGACAATGCAACGAGAATGCAAATTTGATTTCTTGGAAATGAAAGAGAAGTTCGATGACTTTGAGTATTACTCGTCGTGAAGATTAGTTTTATTTTTTGCCATATTTTTATTTTTTCCCCAAGGTTATCGTTAAGAAATTAATCGTAGTACTTTTTTTGTTTGTTTTATTTTTGTTCCAAAGATTTTCGAGACGTTATTTATGTATTTTAAATATTACCAAAAAAAAACAAAAAAAATAAATAAAAAAGAAATGAGAAACGTTACGCGGTTCGTGATAAAGGTCACGTTCTTCCAAAAAAAAAAAAAAAAAGAAATTATGATACATTATGATATATGAAGTACTATAAAAAGTTAATTGATTATTTCATTTAAAATAATTATTAATATACGACCACCAACGATGAAATTATTGCGTAAATATAAAAGTAAGTAAAGAACGAAATAAAAAAATTGATTTTTTTTTTTTTATTAGTATCATCATTATTATTATTATTACTATTATTATTATTAATATTATTATCATTGACTACGGTCAATGAGTTATGTTTGATAGTATAATCCAGTTGTGTTTCAATTTAATTAGAAATTGTGTATATTATTAAATAATTTAATAATTATTTATTAACATAAATATATTTGAAAAAAAAAATGTGGGTCAATATTTATATAAAATTATATGTTGTGTTATATATTTAAAGTATTGTTTTTTTTAATTATTTCTAAAATTATCTTACGATTTATCTGAATAGTGTTCGAATTCATTCAAATTTTTATATATAATATTATGATAAGAAATTATATAACATTACGATTATTTATTTTTATTTTAATCGTAGTATTAATTTAATTAATAACACAGATATATAAATAAGATTATAAATAATTATTAATATAATTATATTTTTATAAATAATATTTATATTATAGTATTTTAGTAGCATTAAAATTAAAATTTAATTTAATAACACGATAAATAATTATAAATAATTTTTAATAATAATTATAGTATTAAAATTAATTTTTAACTAATAACAATATTTAATTAATAATTTTATTTATAAATTATACCTTTAAATAAATATTTAATTAGAACATAAAATGTAAGATTATATTGTGTAAATAAATATTAATAAAAAAAAAAATAATTTATTGTGATAAAATGAAATATTGAAATATCAAAATAGTTTTTATTTTTTTTTTTATTTAAAGAATAGATTTCTGTGTGTGTGTGTATTTTTTATTTCTTATTGTAAAATAGGAATTATTAATAGGTATGAATTAATACGCAGAATATATTTTGTTAACTCTTAGGGACTTTCAACTTCGAATGAAAAGATAAATTCGAAAATATATAATTTACTCACTGATAAAGCTGGAAGGTCTTTGGGTTCGCATTTATTGATGCTGCTACTGGACCAATCGTTGCAACAGCCACTTGCAATGCTTTTTCGTCACGTGCTGGTAAAACTGCCCACGATGTTATGTTAACGATACTTTGATCCTTTACGAATTTACATTGACCTTGCTAAATAAAATACGAAAGGAAGATAATATATTTTATTTAATATATTTTAAATAGAAAAATCTTACACAATTTTTTTTATTAACTTTTTTTTTATTCTTACGCGTTGCACAATTATTATATCATATTATATTATTTTTATTTTTATGTTATTATATTATTATTATTATTATTATATTTTTGTTTATTTATTATTATAATATTATTATTAGATATTATATTATATTATTTTTATTTATATTATTATACTAATATTATTTTATTTATTTATTGTATTTATTATTAAATTTTTATTATTATTACTATATTTATATTATATTATATTATTAGATATTATATTATATTATACAATATATCTTAAGTACTACACAATAATAATAATAATAATAATAATTAAAAAAAAATATTATCTTTCACCAATTAAATATTAAACCTTAAAAATTGTACAATTAGTTAGTTAGCAATGGGTTTATTTTAATAATACGAAAAATAATTAATTAATAATTTATTTAAGAAAAATAAAATATAACAAAAAAAAAAGAGTGGATAATGGACACTTACTTTACCCTTGTAAGGATAAGTATCCTGACGCATAATTCCTTTAGATTTCTCAAGATATCTCAAGGTATTCCTAAGGGAACCCCCGTTACAACCAATATTCCCAGTGATCGTACTGCAATCAACCAATTGCTGTTCGCTCAATGGTATTAGCATGCCAGTCTGTTTAAATAATTGGCCCTCTATCGTGCCAGCTATTGAATATGCATAACAGCTTCCACATTTCATTTGATTCACTGGTTTCGTCACAAAGCCACGTTCTCGCCAATCCAAGTGAGATGGTACAAGTTTTGGATCGTTAAAGGCTGATGAAACCAATTCGTCGTCATCGGACACACGTCTTCTTCTACTTGGTCTTAATTTTACCTACACAATTTTTAAACCACAAAGAAGAACAAAAAAAAAAGAAAAGTAAATAAAAAGATTAAAAAAAAAAACACTTTGATTTTATTTCGAATTATTAAAATTTTGATATGAATAAATAATAATGGTTGTAAAACCATGTATGTGACACTGAATTTTTATATATATATATTTCTAATTAATATTTTTTTAATTTAATATATATTTTAATTTTATTTTATATTTAAAAAAATGTTATATATATATATATAATTTAATATTATAATATTTATTACATTAATAATAAATAATTCCCGTGAGGGGGCGGGTAAGAATACCCCCTCAGTAATCCCTGCTTGTCGTAAGAGGCGACTAATAGGGAACAAAAAAAAAATAAAAATCAAACTTATACATAACTATTCATATAACTATGTATGTATATACGTATGACAAAATGAATAATCTTAAATATATGTCAATATTTCGTTAAAATTACTTTTGATAATTTCAATTACTTTTATTATTTATTGTAACAATATACAATAATAATAATAGATTGTAATTAATTCAAATATTTGTATTAGATTACTTTTCTAATAATAGTATTTGAAAATACTCTCATTTAAATAAAATATCTATATATATATATGTATCTATATAAATATTTAATACAGTAAGAAACTTAATCGTAAGATTTAAGAAAGTCTTAAACACGTTATCACGTAATCGAAGATTTACATATATTTAAAAGAATATAAGTTATATATATATATATGTGTGTGTGTGTGTAAATATCGTTCGATCGATAGATTGTCTTAACGTTCTCGTTCTCATCTCTCTACGTTTCCATTATCACGAATGTGAGAAAGGTGTAATAACACGAAGCACGAAATTTATGGATGCTTCCTAAATAAGCTATCTCGGTTTAGTTCTTTACTCTATGAATAATTTATAGAGCCTGTTGTACATGATAACAAGCCGTACACGATCATGCCAAGTTTTATAATATTAATGACGATCATATATATATATATATTCAACATGATTCTTCAATACTATATATATATATAAAATTTACAATGTGAATATGCATATATAATATGTAAAGTATTAATAACATATATATGCTCATAAAATATAGAAAAAAGAATTTATAATAAAAAAGATTTTAATAAAAATTATATAAGGTGTTCTAAAGATTGGTGATACAAGTTTAATCAGAGAATATGGGGGTTGAGTTTATATAACAAATTAAATAGAAAATATAGAATATCCATTTGTATGGAATTAAATTGAATAAAAATATAATAAATAAATAAATTTTAATACAAATTATACAAGGTGTTTTAAAAATTGGTGGTACAAATTAACTTAGAAAATATGGGGGTTAATTTTATATGACAAATTAAATATAGAAAACATAAGATACCAATTTGTGTGTTTATTTTTTTATATTACATGGGAACTTTTTGTTTTAGAAAAAATGTTATATATTATTATCAAAGATAATTATTGTCAAATACGGTATAACTAATTTGTTTAACTATTGTATAAGGTTTAAAAAAAATTCTTACCAACCATTTCTCGTACGTACTGTTGAGTGCTCAGATCTGCGATATGGTTGTCTCGTAACGTGTAACCGTGGTGTCCCGCAGCAGCCATTAAATTGTGTTCGTAAATCTTCACGAGATTTTCTTCCCACTTGATTCGTCTCGCGTTCTCGAGATTTCCGCTGTATGTCTTGTTGAAGTGTGCCTGTTTTGTCAGGATTAACGATCGTTCACATCAATTCTTTTTTTTTTGTCAATAAGAAATATTACAAATTTTTATTTATATTTTATTGGTGGAAGTAATTGTGAATCTATATTTAATGTTTAATTAACTAACTATGTTAAAAAACTATGAAGTTTTTTTTTTTATATTTGTCAGACATTCGTAAATATTCGGATTTTTTTTTTTTAAATTTGTCAGACATTCGTGCATATTAGGATTTGTTTTTTTTTTTAAATTAGTCAGACATTCGTGCATATATTTTAGTAATTTTCTGTTTAATTTGTTTTTTTTTGTTTTTTTGGTAGAAATTTTTATCGAAGATTTGTTTACCTTGTAAGCTCGCCAATAGTCGTCAAGTTTGTTGGAAAACTTTGGTGGTAATTGTTTGTAATTGTTACCAAATAATTGGTATCCTTTCACTTGTTGTAATAGTATTGCTAAGAAATATGAAAAACACAAAATCCATCGTAAACGAATCATCGTTGTAATGTTGTATAAGATCAACTGAATTAAATTTCAATATGTTATTTTACTGTCGGTCAGTTTAAAAATTTGATGTTTCAGCAAGAATTATTAAATTACGCCATCGTATCGTTCGTAATTTATTAAACATTCAAACGTATATGTATGAAAATTTTAATAAATATTACAACATTTGCAATATTTCATTTATTGTATTCGTATTTTAATTTGATTCTTAAGTTATGTAATTTTATAATTTACACATCAAAAATTTCTCATTTTGTATATAATTATTTATTTATTTACTTATTTATTTTATACAAAATTTTTATCACTCAAAAAGTTGAGGAAAAAAAAAGAAACAATTGTATTTATAAAGATGCAATATTGCTTCAATTTGTCAGTCAGGTTTTGCAAGATGATGATGAAGATAAGAGAAAAAAAAAACGGAATAAGAAAAAAAAAACTAAATTGAAAGAGAAACATTGCCACGGTCCTTTTAGCATCCAGAAGAGTGCATCATCGTTTTTTGTTATTTATTTTTTTTATTTTCCGAGTAATAATTTACGTTTCTTTTCGTTAGTTTCAATATTTTACTTGCGTGTTACCAACAAGGCATATATATATATAAATTTTATATACAAGGTGTTGCAGTTTTATCCACAAAAATTTTACCATTATATTTTAATAAATACAAAAAAATTCATTTGATAAAAGTTTTTTTTTTTTTGTTTATAAATAAAAATTCATCGATGAAACATCCCAATTTGTTTTCATTCAATATTTTTTGCAATTAAAAAAGAATTTAAGTGACTACAATTGTGTATAAAATTTTTAGCTTATTTTTATTTATAGAATATTGGTGGTAAAATTTTGTGGAAAAAAAATTGGGACACCTTGTATATATATATATATATATATACCAATGTGAAACGAGTAAAGGTAAGGACGAATTGTCTTTTTTTGTAAGCACGTATTCGTTAGCGATACAATTTTCATGTTCCATCGATCGTGTCGTGAATTTATATTTTTTTTTTTCCTTTTCTTCGCCTCCTTTATTTGTTTTTTTTATTTTTGTGCAACACATTGATTAATAAGTGAAAAGACGTCAGTTTAAATAAAAGTATCGGTGGTTTTCAAATTTGTTGCATTCATTATCGTTATCTGGCAGGTTAATACGATAAGCATCTCGTTTGATCGAGATATATTTGAATGTTTTTAACAAATTTTAATACTCGTTTTTAAAATTGGGGTTTCCTTTTTTTTTTTTTTTTAAATTGCATCCAAAATTATGTGCAATATCTTTTGCAATATTATTTTTAATTATTTTTATACATTTTGTGCATAATCGTTTTGAAATGTATAATCAATGAAATGATATTTTTAACGAGTTTGATTTATTATTGAATAAAAATTAGAATTTAGATAAATGCATTTATGAGAATAAGATAGGATACAATGCATACAAAGAATTTTTTTTTAGACAATATTTATTTAAAACATCACATTTATTTCAAACTGTATTCAAGATGAACATATTTTATTTATAATTATATTATTTTTCTAACAATTTCATTATCCAAAGTTTCGAATAATTTTTATTTACAATAATTATTGTAGAATATAATTGTACAATGTGAGAGTGAGAGAGAAAGAATGAGACTAGTACGTCTAATACTGCTAGATGGAGATAGTTAAGGCAAACGAGAGTACAGTAGTTTTTAGCGCATGCGCGTTACTAATTCGCGATACTTATGAGTTTGTTGCTTTATTATTTCAATCTTTATTATCAATTATTTAATAAGTTTATTATTTCTATTTAATAATGAAATATATAAATAAATTCATAAAAGAAACACATATTACTCACAATGTATTTAAATAATTTTCTTAATCATATTTCTAGTAATTATTAATTTCACTGGTTTACTACTCCATTGCATCTTCATTCGTTATTCTTATCCCGAGTATAATAAAACGCAAGATTTATTCGTCTGTCTCTCTTTATTATATTTTTGATCATTCTATCTCCCTCACTCTATAACTGTCTGTCAGTTGCGTTAAATGCATATGTATGTATATATATATATATATATACTTGTGCGGTTTATATATCGGTGTGCGCGCGCGCCCGAGCGAACTGGTATCGGTTACCCCCACTCCTTATAATTGGTGTATAGTTTCCCCTCTCTCTTCCTCTCACTCGTGCACTCTCTCGCTCACTCGTACTTACCATTGGACGTATAGTCGTCGTCGTGTCGTCAGCAGCGACTTGCGCGTGCGAGTGGCGAACTGCGCTTCGCATCGCACTGCGCGCTAGCAGCGCGCACACGCGCGCGCTCAGTGATCGCGATTCGCGACATCCCGCGGGACTGGGAAGTCTGCCGTGTTCACACAGTTGCACCCAAATTTTTTTTTTTTTGCTTCCACGTTCGTCCTCTCTCTCATTTTTCTTTTTTGTTTTATTTTATTTGTTTTTATTTTTATTTTTATTTTTTTTTATTTATTCGTACAATATTTTTTTTTGCTTCTTTCCCTTAACGCCCCCGTTCTCCCGCCCCCACTCCCCTCCCCCTACCACGTATTCCCAATCCGGTCTCTTTCCTCTACGTTGTTTTAATTTGCACACGTTGTGTGTATTATTATTATTATTCGCGTTTTTTATTTGTTTATATTGCATTACTTTCTAATATTTATTTTTTTGTTTTGTTTGAAATTATTTGTTTTTTTTTGTTCCCCACCTTTTTCATAGTTACGATACATACACACACATACACATACTTCGTTGGTAGATCTTATTAAAAATTTCATTATTGGTGTACAAAAAAAGTATCGGCGCCATGTTGATTTGTGCAACAGAGAAGAAGATTGACATACGAAATTATTAATAAGAGAAGAAGAGAGGGAGAGAGAGTGTGTGGAGAAAGAGAGGGAAACGAGGATGGTAGAGAGAAAGTAACGAAGATGAAGAGGAGAGAGATGGAACGATAGTTTTCGAAAGGAGGAAACGTGTCTTTAACAGCAAGAAAGAGAAAGAGAAAGAGAAACATATATCTATATATATATACGTCAAGTATAACTTTGTGTACGAAGAAAAAGAAAGTTTCTTTAAGAAAAACCAGCTGTAAAGTGAAAAACAAAACAAAAATAACAATCGGAAAAGAAGAGAGTTTTGTTGCAGTTTTTTTTTGTTAATTTTCTTTCCTTTTTTTTTTTTTATTATTTCTTTGAATTTTGTTTCCCTCCATCTTGGATCTTAGAATGGATGAATCTGGTATCGATATGGGATTCGATCTCGCTGCTCTTAATGATATCGATACGAATGATCAACATGGATTTGGTGATGACGATTTTGAACAAGCACTGTCACTTCTGTCAACTACTACGAAAGATTTTATGTATTACGAATTGAAGAGTCGTGCTCCTGACACCGGCAGGTACGTTACTGACCAATTCAACTTTTACACATTTCGAACCTACCCGCGCTACTTGTTTCTTCACCGTATCGACCTTTGCGCATGCGCGTCCAATTTAATCTCTATTGTATATGTTATTTTTCTTTCGTTTATTTATTTATTTATTTATTTTTGTTTTTTGTCCTTATCTGTTTCCTTCTTTTACAATTTTTT